CTGAACCATGGCTTTTCCCAGGAGCACTAACACAAAAGAAAACATCCAAATAAAACCAAGTACAAGAACAGTTAATCATTGCACAATACATCCACTCGCTTTGGTGGTCTGGATGAAGACTTAGTTCCTTTGTCACYGAATGTGTCACCAATTCCAGACATCCCCCCAGAATCAAATGAAAACACAAAGTCTCCTGGCCAGTAGTTCATACTAGGTTTGATAAAACTGTAGCTTTTTTGATAAAACATGTTCCTAATGTTCTCTTCTCACCATGGGGAAGAAATTGCTTCCTACTTTCCTGATGGGAAGGAAATTCTGAGGTGCCAATGGAATCACTTCCTAAGGAATAACTACCACCTTCAAATACAAACTSATTCAGGGCTAACAGAGCAGTCTTGCTAGTCAAAACAACTGAGCATGAACAAGGGTGGACGTGAAGACCCATAATTACTGCTAGAAGTGACAAAATTACTGAGTAAATGCATGAAAGAGATATTACCTTGATCACGTCTGTTTAGTTTTTTAGTGTATGCTGTGCCATATGTTTTCACTTAAGTTAAAAAAAACTGCAGCAAGTCTCCTGTCCTCATTACACRGAGAGGATGCCAGATACCAGCTACTCTTTCTTATGAAAGTCTTTTATATTCTTCAAACCACATGTACTGAGAAATTCTATTAATAGTCAGGTATTTCTCCAGTCTTGTTTGTTGCCCTTCTCCAAATAACTCTTTCCTTTTGCTTTAGCTACAGAGGTAAATTTGGGGAGGAGGCCCTCTGGGATTAATAATCTTACTAACACTATAAACAATTTTTCCATTGCTTATTCATTGGCAAATTTAACCCTGAGAGCAGTGCACACCCTAGACAGTCTCTGCAACTCTGTGTACAGCATGGTCATATTCATACCTCCATAATTACATCRATAGATGCACTGCTAGAAAAGGGTGTAAATACAAAAGAAGAAATTCCAATTTATATTTAAAAAAACCTCCATGTAAGTTGTTTAAGACCCCAAGATTTCTGCAGTTTCCTTGCTCTTCACTGAAAAGAGTTTGCAACAACTGTGTTGGTGGGTGCTGGGAAAGAAGAATTCCTACAAGCAAATCAGATSCTTGCAAATGGTGAAACATGGGAGGCACTCCAACATCCCATTAATGCCAAAACAATAGCCTGGGACACAGGAGGGTGCTCGGCAGCCGGAGCTGTCCCCCCCAGGAACCCTTGACATTTGTAGCTTTTAGAGTTCCAACTTCTGGTTACAGTTTGATCTTCCTGACAGCTCTGAAAGTTGACCAATTTCGTGGTGTTCCTCACTTGGRCTATAAACACACCAATAAACAAATTGGCAGCAGGGCATGGGCCCTCAGTGTCCTGCACGAGTYCATACTGTAAAGTGTTAGCACAGTCCCAGATGTGCTCACCAGGGCCAACAAACATCCTCCTCTAAATTCTCACGCATTCACGGGCTAATGCAGGCCAGTGACCTTTCTYGATAGGAAGCCTGGACATAGCCACTCTATTTTTGTGGGGGGCAGGGAGTTAATCTGTTTGAACAATGAGCTCAACARCGTTCATGACCACAGGACAACCATTTTATTTATTAATAGAGTTGGAGTCATCATTTCCAAGTGCTTACTGTGGCCTGTCCYGTTTTCAGGCTCTGTCAAGTCCCACAGTAAGAAACAACAATTTTGATGTGGCAGACATCTCATTTTYTAAAGTAAGTGCAGTCCAACATGACACTGGCCTGTTTGCCAACACGGCTACTCTTCATTTAGAAAATCTTGATCCAGATTCTGAAATATAATCTCATAGGTTCACAGCCAGCTGTAGAAATCACTCAGAAAAACCTGAAGGCACTGTTCCATGAACAGCCAAACCAGATACTGGTAGTGACCCTTTATGGAGTCAAAAGATAACACACTCACCCCTCTTCATACCCAGTGCTTCCCCTGTTCTCTGCACACAGAAGAAGCCATTTTCAACAAGGGCTGCAGACATCTGTGGTGAATGCAACAACACCTTCAACCTGCTGGATCTGCTCCAACATTCCTGACAGCTCTCAGCTCTGCTTTTGTCACAGGTTACTGGGCATTGTGATTAAGTAACTAGGATCAATCCTTGCTCCAGATCTTTGGTGAACAGAGGCAGAGTCAACAACTATAATATATACTTAAACTCCACCCATTTAAGACAGGTAAGAAAAAGGTACAAAAAAGGTAGAACAGCTGCACTGAAATTCCTCTTTATTCCTTGTACCTTGTCAAGGACTCTCAGAACCACTGTTCAAGCAGAGTCTGCACAAGGCTTTGTACCACCACATGCCTCATGCCAGAAAGCCCTGCTYGTAAAGCACAGGGTTGTCATCTGCTTATTTGGTGTTTCTTTCGTAGCATGCAAATAATCACTAAGGCTGTTACATGACAATAGCAGCAGTTTCCCATCTCACACAGGATGTGCAGCATTCCCACTGCAATAGCCCATTTCAGAAACAGCAGCATGCAAGGGAAAGTTTAAAAACTTTCATATTCAGGACCAYATGCACCTTGAGGGCTTCTACACACAAACGTTCTTGCTGAGAATGGAGCACTCTGTCCATAAAACCCCCTTTCCTGGGCTAATTGCCAAATCAGAAAACAGCCACTGGAGTAAAGGAGTGAGAAATCTTTCACAAAGAAACACTGTTAAACTTTCTGTGTTGTACTGAGTACTTCTAAGCATCTGGAGATAGCAGAACTGCCTTTACAATCAGATTCTTATTGAAGAAAATGAAAATTTCTGATGTACTGTGTCAAAATGATCAGCATACTGCCTCCYCCTTGATATGATAACCTTTAAAGAGGAGTAGTCTGCCCTGAAAATTTCTCAGCCATTTCTACTCTTTTACATGTAATTTATAGAGACGTGTTATTCCAAATTAGTGCAGCCCAGTAGACAATGCTCCTCAAAAGCTGTTTTCCCCTAAAGATTGCAAGACTCATTCTTGCAATCCTGGAACTGTCCTTTCTTGGATCAGTAAACACCAAGTGACGGGTAAAAAAGGACTTCATTCAGCTGTTTTTTAGAGACAAAGCAAAGGAAAACTTAGGTAAGGATAGAAACTTTAACAAGAGAAAGCAGAAATGGTGGATTAGCTTMCAACTGCTACCAATCCCTTGATTTCATAACGGTAGCACTTTCAAGCTACCATGGATTAGTTTCTAGAAGTTCCTTGGAACATGCAGTGTTACTGAAAGTGAGCTCATCCTGTAGCYGTATTTCATAGAAAAGAAAACAAATCCAAAACAAACCCGCCCCTTCCCCCCCAAAAAAAGATAAGAAAAAAACAAAAAGAAAAAAAGGCAACCCATTTTGCACTTGGAATAAATCCCAGTGACTTAAAAACACCAGGTGATATTCACTACAGCTCTCAGCAAGGTCTTCCCATTTCCATCTCAGCTGCAGCCTTAGCCTACAACACCAACCACCCTTCCCAGTGTGATACATGTCAGAAATCCCAGCTGAGAGTGTCATGGGAGTGCCCAACACACAGAGCACAGCTCCTGCCCCGTCTGTTTCAACACAGCCACATCTCTCTACACTTTCCCAGCCACCCTGACTGCCCTTTTCCTATGCACATCACAGCTCTGAGAGTCTTCATCTTGCACCAGCACATGACTGAGCTCCACATTGCCTGCCTGGGTCATTTGTTTGGATATCATTAGATTGCCCTGACTGAAAGCCCTAATGAGGTGCTGATCCCATCATCCAATCAGTCGTCTCAACCCAAATGCATCCCATGGGACAGCCAGAAAAGACTGATGCAAGAATTCCAAGTGATGTGTAACATGAAAGGGCGCCATTCGCATCGCTAGGACTCACAGCCTGTCAGCACGGCCATTAGAAATCCGGGGCTACACAGATTTATAATTCAACCCTCCCACACASAGAACTTGCTCCAGACTGAAACTTGGCACAAAATTCAGTCCCAGGAGGGTGTTAAAAAAAATAACCTATTCAACGGTTTCCGTCCCATGGCTTCAGCTCACAGCCATTTAAATAATGGCAATTTCTCATTTCTCTTTTTAACTGAGGAAATCCAATATAAAACACCAGATTTACATAACATTGCAGTGGTGATACAAGCTGGCAACAAACCCAGGGAGAAGGCTGCCAGAGCCATTCCGTCATTCTCTTTCGGTGAATTTCTCCATTTGGATTCAGTTTAACACAATGATTTTTAATAGGTCTAGCTGACATCACGTGTGACCTGCAAATCCCACCTCCACACTGGGCAGGCACCTTGCCCCAGCTTTGTACACCTGGTGTGCTGGTCAGAAGGGGACGAGCCCTCCTGTGGTCATCACAGCCTCCCACTTGAGCTGTCACTGTTAGTTCTTTGCAGCAAACTCTGCTGGCTGATTTAGAGGACAGTAATTAGCTTCCTATTGAGCTGCAAAAGACAGACTGGACAAGGAATGGACAAAACAAAGAAGGGAACTGATGCAAGCCAAAAGCAATTTGTCAGTAGAGCATTTGATTTGATCAGAGATTGTTCTGACAACTACCACACCTGCTTCAAGGGAGAGACACAGAGCCAATCCTTCTGTGGCTGCAGTTCTTTCTCCACCAGGTATTTCAGTTCCTATGGGAGTATCTGCATTCTTGAGTTTGTCAGTGGGAAAAAAATTCTTGCAAGTTGATGCAATGCCACAAAAACTTCTTAAATACACTGGACTTAGAAAGTCTGCAGCAAACCACTGCAGTGAGCACAAGCGTTCTGCTCCACCACCACTTGGACAGAGAGGCTCTGAATATGTGTGATAGCACATGTGGGATAGGAAGGGGATTGTCAGCCCCAAACCGATCATCTGCACTTCTGAGAACTACATCTACAATAATTCTCTCAAACAGGGAAATACACTGACCCCAAAGAACCACCCAAGGTTTCAAAGCAGAAAAGAAAATGAGGCAAGCATCTGCAAGAACTCCCTTCTTCTCCAACAGCAATTTTCTCATACCTTGTCCTTTAATTCCAAAGGGTGGTACAAAGTCCCTGATACGTGCCCATTTCCTGAAGGAATCATCCAAGAACATTGGTGCYGGCTTCGAGAACCTGAGAAAACCAAAACGAGAAAGACATTAACTCCTGAACTAGAAAGATAAACTTCTGCAGCAATGTTGAGAGAATCCATACCTGAGTGCTGATCCTATATTGTCACTGGCAGCAATGTGGAAGATTTTACTTTAACCCAGAGATGACCTCAGTGAACCAAACCTGTCAGAATTTGTGCCACAAGGACACTCAAATCACTCAAGCTATTAACCTAGCAATCACTTCCATTCACAATTTAAWACCGGCCCTCTACTGTTTGGCTATTAATTTAGCTACAATAAGCTGTAAATTGCAACCAGGGTTTAGGCAGTTTCACTTCCAGCTTTCCAAGCACAAACCAATTTATGTGCTGTCYGTGTGAGTCTGTGAGAATCTGCTTTGGCCTCCCTCCTATGCAGATACACACAGCTATCACCATACAGGCAAGAAAGAAAACAGTTCACCAGATCATGAAGCAGCTCTTAGTTTATAGAGAATGGAAATGGAAATTCAGTGCCTTCTTCTGCATTCATTAACATATAAATGATTCAAGAGACATCCCCTGCCAAACCAAACAGTTATGATCTATCTAGAGTCCCTTACAAAAGAGAAACCTAGTCCTTCTTAACTATGTCATTACAGAAATACATTATCCTAATTATACCCTCAAGACACAAACACAGCAGCTAGTAAAAATTTGTCTCTTCCAGAAACGTTTACTACCRTGGCCAGAAAAAAAGGAAACAATTAGCAAATACAGAAATATTAACTTCCATATGGGACCATTTCTGAGCATATAAAGTATATTAGAAAATAYGTTAATACTATTAGAAATCTGTTCATTCAGTCATGTCAAAACGGTAGGAGAGATGTTCTGGATCAAAATCAATCCCACCATGAAAAGGAATGTACTGCATGTTCAGAGTCAGAGAGAACACCTCTGCTACAGAGGAAGGTACACGTGCCTGAAATAGATCCAGCTTGGCCAACCTACACAGGGGAGCAGGACAGATGYAACCCACAGGTTTAACTCTCCCTTCAGGCTGTTCCTGTACTCAGCGTGCAACTCTTACAGCAATCAGAGAACCTTTGGACTTGAAGTGCCTGATTTAAGATGAACTCATCTGCACTATGCCACAGCTGGGTAGAGAACAATTTCAGATAACAGCACAGTGAGGAAAGGATGGAATGAATTCTAAATTATAAACTGATCAAAGTAAAGTCCTATCACAGATGCCCAGTAAATCACAGGTTGCAGAAATCTCTGGAAAGGGGAAAAAGACCAGGAGAATTTAGCAAAACAAGAAGACTCAAATTCAGCCGTGCATACTGCTTCACCTCCACTCATGCAATCTTTAATAAGATCATCCATAACCATAAAAGCAAGAAGATGCACAGAATGACATGGCTGATCTAGARGGAAAGGAATGTTTTTACAGAGCTGAGAATACAAAAGCATATATATAACTGTATCTGGGAAAAGGTGGAAAAGATATGTTGGGTACATTAGAGCTTCTGAAGCCGTTAAGTAAAAGAAGCCCACAGGCCTATTTAAAAACAAATAAAGAACAATAATATATTAATTGTAACACATTTACTCTGAAAATACCCTAAAAACTTCAATGACCTGACAAATTAGTTCAATGTTTTCTCAAACATTTTCGTTCACCAAAATACAATTATTAGRTTTCCCTGGGGGTCTCCAGGGGCTTATTTCCACCTCCTTCCAACACCAACAGGAGGAATCTGTGCAGGATTGTTGTGCAATGCAAGAGCTTTTACAAACTCGATGTTCACAGCCCTTCATTTAGACATCCCTTGAACTCACAGCAGAAGCCTTTTTATTATATTTTCTACAAGTAAAATCTGGGATTTTTCTAGTAGAGAATACAGACTAGCGAGACTAATGGACCAACTACTATTATTTGGTAATATTTAATATTCCTGTATACACGGCTAGGGAAATGGACTTTGAATTCATATTTTTGCTTCATTTAAGAAGGAGGAAGAACAGTTTTGGGGAAATATTATATCCATATGGGAAAAAAAGGGAGCAAGTTGGAGGATATTTTGCTCCCATAAATCTTGAAGGTAATTCCGTTTTGGAAATATTAAGAAATTATGAATGCTGTTAAGCTCATGCGCTTTGCCACCTCAATAAATCAGAGAGAGCCAGAACTGATGTCCAGCAGTGACAGGGAAGTGCTGTCGGCCAGACTCTCCAGGAGCATGGCTGTTCTGTCTCAGCTCTGAACTGCATCTGGCGTATTCCAGGACCATTCAGGAAGTATCGGGATTTGCTTCAGACAGGCCATGGGAATGCTCTCTGCAGAGCACCTAAAATAYATTCCAAGGAATGCATGGGAGTTTGTCAAACAGGAAAAAAACGTTTCTGAATGATGTTAAAGCTCTGCRTGTACTGAGCAGCTCSGTACAGGATGCTGCATTTTGCCTGYCACAKTTACCTAAAGGCAGGTTGGCTTTACTGGCAACCGTGGCTCCAGAACCAAAACAGGYTTGTGGTCCTTCAGAAAATGGCATAGAAAGGAAGAGTTTTGATTTTTCAGATTTAAATTTTCCCCTTTAYCTCCTCCCTCGAATTCCAGAACAGACATAATGCAACCTCATTGCACGTGAGAGCCTGAAAAGATGAGGAATTTGGCTGCTTGTGGCACACACTTGTGACCTGTGTAAGTTGAGAGAGAAATGCCAAGCATCTACAATCTCTAGTTTCAATGGTATACCCTGATGAAATACAAATGACATCTAATTGGGCCAAATGTTTGATACGATAATTGTGAGGTATAAAACAAATCTCTCTCAGTTCTCAAGTTTGAATTCCTCATACAAAGACATTAATAAAATCTCTTAACAATTTGTCACCATGCACAGCGAAAGGAAGGGAGCGTTCTGCCAGAAACTGTTCTTAAACAGGAATCTATAATCACAGAAAAATGTGATATATATTTGTGCCTACAGGACTCTGGCTTACATGTCAAAACATTACATTTCCAGCTTTTTCCTCTCCAGCAAGAAGAGTTATGTCTCCAAAACATTTCTGAAGGCTGAATTAGCCTGCCAGAAGCTCCCTGGACAAGCTTTCTGACCATTCCATTTTGTCCCTGCTACTCAGGTCACTTTACAGCTCCTCTTTGATGTGCACTGAGGTATTCAGCATAAGCAGCACTAACTTCCCATGGCATCTTGCGGTTGCTGTGCAAGAGCTGTAGGACAGTTTTAGACATTGAATCTTCACTAGAATCTGCTCCCTACTCCTTGTCYGCTGCTTTCTAGGCAATTAATACATAAAAGTGTAGAAGAGAATAAGCTACATCTGAGAGAAAGTAAAACAAATAAACTGATTTATGTGTCTTTGGCTGTAACAGGGAGGGAGGAAGGAAAGYTCAAGCTCCTGAATGAGTAAAGGAGAAGATGGCACCACATTTCCAAGAAACCATGACACCAAGGAAAAGCAGATTGGCAGCCACTAAGCTCCACTGTGMGATTATATTTCAGATATTCCTTTTTTTTTTTTTTTTAACATCCTCCTTTAAACTGACCTGTGCTTTTGTTTATTCTTTAGTTAAGGAGAGTCACCAGTGCTGGAAAACTGAAAGCTGAAAAGAAAAAAACCGAWCAGTGCTGTACAGAACCTGCACACTGCATTTGTAAAGTGGCAGGAACAGCTTTTTTTCTATTTTTAAACYACACAAATAAATGACTTATTTGTTCTGGCATGACTTCTATCTTCTGTTTGCTGATGCTCAAAAGCATCCATGGTTAGACAGAAGGCACAAAATCTACCGATGTTATTAATTAAATACAAACTGACGCACTTGAGCACTGAATCATTAGCCCTGACACAGGCATTTATAGAAGTACAGAGAGAAAATCTAAACTAACCTTTCCCTTTTCCCCTACTAAGACCTGGATGTACGCTGTCTCCCTTGCATCCCTTTCCTGGGGAGCAGCATGGTGTGATGGCATAGGAATGAGGAGGTTTGTGATGTCCTGATTTCACATTTCTTATTGAGATTAATCCTCTGTCAAAAATTCAAACAGCTCAAAGGTTCCTCAAGCAGTTGGGAAAAAAAAAAAAAAAANAATAAGGATTAACCCCAACCTACAACCCAAAATTCTGCTTTTCCTATATCAGCAAATGAGAAAAAAAAAAAGATGGCTGCAAGAAGAATCTCTTTGACAGTAGAGATCAGGCCAAAAATTAAGTTGATCTTAGCAAATTGCTAAAAAATAAAATAATATGGTAAAGACAACTTAGCACTGAAGAATGGTTGGTCAGAGCATCCTATTGCTGCCATTTGAGATCCTCTAATTCTTTCACAAGGACAGTGAGCCACAGAACCCCACCAATCTCCTCCCATGCACTTGGTGCCTACAGACCTATGAGGGGATCTGCAGTTGTATCTTTCTGSCTGCAAAGGTCTCAGCTACTTGGCCATTCTCCAGACAGATGCCACTGTAGCAGCACCACAGTKCTCTGCTTTATTCTCTGCCCTGTCCCAGTAATTCTGCCAGCTGGGTTTTGTCCTTTACTGGGCTGGAGWAATCACTTGATCCTTTGCAGCTCTGCAAGAAGGACCAAGAGGTGTAAACCAGTCCTTCCTTATGACAGGAAGGGGCAGTAAATGTCACAACCACTCAAAAGAAATACCTTTGAACAGGCTTTATTCCATAAGCAAAGGAAAGGGCAGGTGAAGTCAGCTGAGCAAAAAAATCCACAGACCATGCAGCAGTTATTCCARTTATCCCTGACTACTTCTCTGGGAATGATTGCTCCATACTTTTGAGACACTCTGGAGCATCTTCAGCCTTCTTGGCCTCTGCTCTCCATCACCTAGTAGGTTGTTTAAACTCATCAGTGCAGACCTTTCCCACTGCCTGCTCACTGCTCTGTTTAGAGCCGGACCAGCTGCTCCAAGATGCATCTTAAAGGGCCCCCATCCTCTGCACTGTGGTTCATACACAAAACATTGTTACACTCCTGCAGAAAAGATAAACAT